ATCGAACCCCGAAACAACCTCTGAGCTGATCATAGTCAGAGCACCACTAACGCACAGATCGAACCCCGAAACAACCTCTGGGCTGATCATAGTCAGGGCATGGCTAACTCACAGATCAAACCCTGCAACAACCTCTGGGCTGATCTAAGTCAGAGCACCGCTAACTCACAGATCGAACCCTGAAACATCCTCTGGGCTGATCTAAGTCAGCGCACCGCTAACGCACAGATCGAACCCTTTGGGCTGATCTAACTCAGCGCATCGCTATCTCACAGATCGAACACTGAAACAACCTAAGGACTGTTCAATTACGTCAGGACACAGCTCAGTCATAAATCCAATTGGGAATTAACGTCTTAGGTTTTGTGGAGGGAGGAAAACCAGGGAACCTGGAGAAAAACCCTCGAGGAATTAGAGGAGACCTAACAAACTCTAATCACACGCGATGCCTAGGAAAGCTGGTCACACACACTCACAAAGAGTCAATATATATGATGTCTGTAGTGTATTCAAAGAAGTGCAATGATTTGGATTTAGTCTGAGGAAATATTACATAATAGTGTCGTTCGTTAAGATTAAATCTTAAGCGTGAGAGTGTCCGCATCATTAGGTATTCCATGATACAGATTCAAAATAATAAACGAAAGAAAATGGTGATTTATTGAAATTTATTAAGAATGAACGCAAATATAGCCAGCACTGAAGAAATAGAGAAAGCAAATAAGAATTACTGAAATTAATAGTAATGTTATTAAAAATGAAATTAAAAAATTATGATGGGAAAGCAAAAACAATTATCATAGCGTGATTAAAAAGTATTGAATCGAAAGGGGAAACCAAAAGTATGAATCAGTGATATGAAAGTAAGGAAAAATGAAATAGAAAAAAAAACGAGAAGCAAAGAGAGCAATGAAGGAAAGGAAGCAACGGATCCCACGAAGTTCAAGTAGTAAACGCAATGAGAGCTGAAGCTAGTTAAGAATAAATTACAAACTGATTCTACCAATTAGGACGGCCTAAGTAGCGCAGAAGAAAATATCAAACAAAGTCTCTAAATGAAAAAAAGACTGTGATGATAAAGAAGAAGAAAGATCTTTATCAAATTAGTCTTGTCTAGCACATATTACTCATAAATAGCCAATAAACGTCAACCAATAGCCATGAAAGATTCTCTAACGATCGGGAAAGTCAATACTCCTCTGTCCGCGATCATTATGAAATTGCACGTTTTGCCTGTAAAAGGAACATAATCCGTAACTATATGGAGTGAATAAATGAATACTGAACAGAGAGAAAGAGTCGTGAGATATGAGAAAAGAAGGGGGAAACGTGATTGAATAAATGCTACAGTCAACCCGAACTTTTAGGATATAGGATAAAGAGATCTTTATAACTTTGACATTTGTTTCAATAATGGAAGGGAATCTCTTTACTTTTCGCATTACTTTTACAATCATGACCAATCACACATCAATGGATGTCAGTCTTAGATAAAGCGGCGTGCGGTCAATGGCAGAAAAACTGGACTATAACCTATAAGCAATCACAAATGCATTTATCTCGACTGCTCTCTGCTTATTTTACTTGCTAAATATTCAAATCGCTTAAAACTTGCTTTAAAATTAGCCAAAAGTAAACAGCAATTTGTTCTTAGTGTACTACAATTGACAGAGTCCAAAAGCTGTTTTCGGCTTTACTTCCTATTACGTATGTCAAATGTTACTTTAAAGTTCTCCAGCAAGTGTTTTGAAAAATCAACGTGGATGTTATTGCGTATCTCTTCTCACTCTCTCTGGAAAATTTTAAATCTTCAACAAGATTATAGCAGCCGCTAGCTCCAGGAGTTTTAAATTGAATTCAAATTTTACTACAAATTAGAAAGTTTCATATTAAACAATCGACGTGTTCCTAATTCTCGAGCTGTCAGCAGTGGACGGAAATTAAATATCCCAGCAAAATGAATTGATTACATGTTCAGTTTTGGTTAGATGACAAGAATACAACAACTGATCCCGAGGCAAAAAAAGAAAAAAAAAAAAAGAGAAAAAGAAAAACTTGGGTTGTTTTTCTTTTTCAAACATTTTGTGTAACTAAAAATTATGAAAGATTACTGAATAGAATTAAATAATACGTACACAAATGTACTTTTTTCGTTCATTCAAAACTAACAGTTATTAAACAGACTTACGTATTTAAAAACTTATTTTTTTTAATATCAGGATTACGTGAATTATTAGTGGACTTAGGGACTTATGTCGAACTTTTGAAATTGAGATGTCAGGGGTTTTTTTTCACGAAAGTAATGTTCATAAAAATTCGTAGTCAAATCGCCACGATATTTAAATACCAACAAAAATCTATTTTTTGATGCTGTGAAGAATACAATTCAACGGCAGCAACGACGCTTTTTCCGTCAAAAATTAACAAAAGCTATCACCGGCTACTAATATTTTAATGATGTGCAGAAATTTGGTTTATTTTTCATATTTCTTATGGTTCATATTGATGTCGAATATTAGATTTATCTAACTCAATGTCTCCTAAAGGGAATTGAGAATTTGAAAACAAAATAAAGAACGATATTCATCGTATTTATTTCTACCTTTGCAAATGATTTGTTGATATCCTTTGCTTACGTTAAAACAAATCACTGCCACCAGCAGAACCTAGGCAACATAAAATACAGAAATACAGTTACATTCATTAAATATTTTCAAACATTGAAAAACAAGTTCCAAACTAACCTGCAAAAGTGCTAGATTGCACATCTTTCCATTTCCCCAGGATCCATTCAGTATCGACTGCCAACTAAAGACTAGAGTTAATCCTCAAGGAATGTTCTATTCAGTTGTCACACTAGCCAGAGACGCGCCAAATTCAGCATCTGAGGATTTCGTTTAATGAGCTGTGAAGATTCATTTGGTAAACAATTAATATTGAGATACGGAATTAAACATTTAGCAGCATTTCGAACCGGAAGTCCAGCGCTTGGAGATGTGGTGGTAAATGAAGCGCTTCCGTTGTCGAAATGATGTTAAATTCTCAGTTCAACAAGGCTGGCATGTGACTCATTTGCACAGCTTGTGGTTACTAATGCGCAGTGTGTTAAATTATGATTCTCCATAATTCCCCAGTTTACGTGGCAAAGCGTCTGGAAGTGCGCCAAACCTCAGTTCGAGAAAAATGTCATTAAAGTCGTGGCATTTCAAATAATTGCGTTCAAATTATGAAAATATTCCCATCAAACGAGAGGTTTGGTCGGATTATTTGTCACTAAATAGTAATCGCACCAGAATAATAATGAGCTTGAAGGTGTTATCATAAAAAGGAGGAAAAAAGATTCAAATAGCGTAATGTTCGCTTTAGTTCTAATCCAACACCAAGATGAGTCATTTTGGTGTTGGATTAGAACTGTAAAGCGAACATTACGCTATTTGAATCTTTTTTCCTCCTTTTTTTCTTCTTCTTAAGAAAGAAAAGTACCCTTTTGCCATTAAGCCAGGCATCAGTATCTAAAGGCGATAGAAAAATTTTTAATGGAAAAAAAAACAACAATGCTATCGTCGTAAAGCCTTTCAGTGACGAAAACAGGTTGACCAATGACTGACAACCTTCACAGTCGCTGGTAGAATATTCGTTATAACAGATCTTTAGATGATATAAACCTTTTGAACATGTTTTTCTGATTTAGTGAGAATAAGCACAAATTAAAGAGGATAACAACAGAAGACTACCATTTGACGAACAAAATAGTTAACTGAACATGCAAACGGACGTTTTTTAGTAGCTTTTTTCAGTATAAATATTTTGGCAATCCAACACTCCAGCCGAGATTGGAGTTTCCGCACAATATGAAAAGTATAGTTTTGCTTTCAAATCGAGCTCCTCTAGCGGCCAACTGGGCAAGCATTGCTTATCGTTTCACATTTAGCAACTCGTCTAACGTTCAGTAAATAATCTAACATGTAGTGGTCCGTCTAAAATGCATCAACTCGTCTAACTGTAGCAACTCATCTAACATGCAGTAACTCAAAAGAGATAACTAGCTAAAAACTAGTGTGAGCTGCGTCAGTGTTTCTAATGAAACAGTATTAATAAAAGGGTAAATTTTACACCGTGAAAAGATGAACAAACTTACTGACGTTTCGGACGCTAGTTCTTGGTTGGAGTAAGAGAGTAACTCATGCAGTAACTCATCTTGTTTTAGAATTTTTTACATGTAAAGTATAAGAACTCTAACTCATCTAACATCATGCAGTAAAACAAAACGATGTGGCGTTGAAATGGCTTCCATTCAGGAAGGATAAAAAAGCACGCAAATCTGACTAGTGACCGAATCACAAAAAGCTATTATAGTGTCGTAGGAAATCTAAAATATCTTATAGAATGTTGATCCATCAAGTGATATATTTGCTGCGAGTGGGTCTGTATATCCTTATAGTTTAAGATTCTACACAGATAAAGATTTCTATTGTGCACATAACCCATCACCACTAATGATCAGTTTATGACCTGGAGAAGTGTTCAGTTGGTCCCTTACATCTTGCAAATGACCGTACGTGATATGATAAGAGGATGGACTTATTATTATCTTTAATTGATTTTTATAAGCTAGCTGTATTGTACAGATTAGTTCATTCATGTACTATAAGTCTGGGGGAACTCTTGCAAGGGGTCAATAAAGTGAGGGAATAACACACGAACATGAATCGCTTCAAGAACGGCTGCGTCCTTTTTGGGGCAAAAAGGGGGGGGGAAAGGGGGGAAAAGGGGGGATTGGGTGGA